GCTGAGATGATAGTTTGGTTAGTATTAGTTTACCAGTATACCTCCCCATATCCCAAATTAGATTGCCCAGCTGAAATCCATCACATGCTGTCTCTGGCTCTGGTAGAGGCTTCTCTGTGTGCTGCTCAGAGTGCTTTCTCTGTGCTTAATATTCCCAAACCTGAAAAGAAAACATTATTGATTGGCAGAATCCAGATGTGAGAGGCTGCCAGTACTGTGATGAGTTTGTTACTGGAGTTTTGTGTGTGTGTTATGGGACTGGTTCTAGGGAGGGTCTACGAAATATTGCTGGCTGTAAATAAACCTGCTTCAGGATATGCTGAGTAAATCCTCCCAGCTCCAATGACAGCTCCTCTATCTTCATGAATTTATATTGTTTTTACTTCCTTCCTCTGTCCCAGTCAGCTTCATCGGTGACTGGGCTTTCGTATTCTTTGCAGGGAGAACCAAATTCTAGGTTCTGTAATTCCTGAGAATACCAGGGCTCTGCTGTTGACCTACAGCCATAGCTGGTGTGTTCTCCCAAATGTCTGTCACAGTTAAACCAAACTGGCAAGTTCTACAGCCTGCTGTAGCCACCTCATGCTCTAGCTATTGGGACTTTGGTCTCAGGTGAAGGCTGGGGAGCAGCATGTGAACTAGAGTGGTTCTTTCCTCCTCCCTTGTCTTCTCACGTGGCTTCTGTTGGAAAGCTGTGGATTTGGGCTTTTGTTTTTCCTTTTGTCTTAATTGGACTTGAACTAGGGAGCTGAAGGGGATTTCTTCTAGGAGCTGCTTTTCTTTCATAGGGCGATGCTTTCTTTCATCTTTCCTGTAGACTAGGAGAGTCCCTCTCAACCTTTTCTACCTGAGAGACTTGTGCTGTTGCCTTCTTGTCTCTGGGCTGTGGGTTCCATGCCTCCTGACTGACTCAGACAACTGTCTGGTAAATAGATCTCCAGGCTGAGTTTATTACTTCAACCAACTGGAAGCCAGAGGAACGGATCTGTACAAGTCAAAACAGGTGTCCCCTGTGAGTTTTGAAATGTGCTTTGTGGGAAGGAAAGAGGAACAGTGATTTCTCATTGTTTTTGCTTGTGTCTTCATTACTCCCCTTCCCCTTCCTGCCTCTTTAAGGGCATGGCAAGACTCTCCGAATACAGGTATAATTGAATAATGTGACCCTTTTTTTCTGTCCCCTTAGCTCTGCCATTTAAAATACTACCTCATGCGTGTGTCCTATGACTAGCTTGTGATAGCTGTCGTGGGTACTTGAATAGTATCTGGCTTGACAGTTAGGAGGATGTTCCTCTGGGTCTTTGTTTTTACTGTGACAGTCTCCCTCCGCTTTCTACCCTTTCTTCCACTGTATGGAGGTCCTTGTGGAATCATGTTGCTACTGTCAGAATAGTGCCTGTTTTCATTTAGTGAAACTTGCTTCAATGGATGGGCGTAAGTGGTCCTGAAAGCATCTTGGGATGTTTATCACCGTCTTCAGTGATTCCTACTTTCTGCCAAGACTTCCTCAGTGGTGTTTTAAATCTGGACCCATCTCCTTTGAAGTACAGGTGATGCTGTGCCTCTGGTCTTATGCTCAGATATGGAGGGAACCTGATTTGTCAGAGTGGGCACCATAAGAGCCATAAGAACTTGGTTTGTTTTCTCAGAAGCAGCTCTATGCAATAATGTGCCCAGGGCTAAGCAAGCTCACACCCAGCTTTTTGGTCTCAGGGCAGAAGAATTACCTTCCAAAACAGGACAGGGTGTGGCCAGCAGGAGGTAGATTCCCACTGTGGATTCTCCAGAACCTTCCAGGTTCCAAGGGTGCCTATAACACCAATGGGCTCCAGAAATCTTAGGAGATCTCCAAAGATCTTACATCCGGGCTGGGGATGTGGCTCAAGCGGTAGCGTGCTCGCCTGGCATGCATGCAGCCCGGGTTCGATCCTCAGCACCACGTACAAACAAAGATGTTGTGTCTGCCGAAAACTAAAAAAGAATAAATAAATATTAAAATTTAAAAAAAAAAAAAAAAAAAAAAAAGATCTTACATCCTAGGAGATCTTAGCGCCATGTTTCTGGCCCCTTCCTGAAGCCCACTGCCCCATATGGCTTTGAAGATATGCAGGCTCATTTATGCATTCGATTTATGGGATTAAGGCAGGAGAATCTTCTCACATTTGGAATAAGGTCCATGGTCCATTGGTCAGCACTTTGTTTGGAGTCACCAAAAGTTGGAGGCCCGTGGAACCAAGTTCCACTGAGGTAGGTCAGGTGAACCTGTGTTTTGGATGTAAAATACGAGTTCTAGCACCTTAGCTGGGTGCTCTCTGGCATACCCCATTCTTGGTCTAACAGAGTAGAAAGCAAGGACTAGATCAGTTCACAAATGGAAACCAACTGCCCAGTTTTTCTTTTCTTTTCTTTCTTTTTTTTTTAAGCTTTTTAAAAAATATTTATTTATTTATTTATTTTAGGTGTAGATGGACACAACACAATGCCTTTATTTTTATGTGGTGCTAAGGATTGAACCACCTGCACTAGGCGAGCGCTCTGCCGCTGAGCCACAATCCCAGCCCCCCCACTGCCCGGTTTACCTTTCTCTTTTAGTTAACATGTAAAATAACTAGAGTCATACAGCAAAACAATATAAGAGGAAAATACACAAATATACTTCCTGTCTGGTTTTTGCCCCATCATTTTCTTCCTCAGATATGACTAAAGAACCTCAGCTAAGCCAGCCAGGCATGTGTGAAATGCAGGATTCATTCCTCATCACCACACACACCTCCTCCCCTCCCATCTCAGATCACAAAGGTCATAAGAAGCCATGGGGAGGCTCCTGAACTTTTACTGTACTTAGGGAGCCCTTTAAGTGACATTTGCATGTTTGGTGACCAGCTTCCTGTCACTCAGATGGACACTGGATTAGGATTTCAGTGACTATCAAGCCTCCTTCCTCAACTCTGCATATTTGTCCATGAAAGGAGAGTGGCAGGAAACAGGACCTTGGAAAACAGTGAGTTTGGGGCCCTTAGAGTTCACAGGTCAGTCCCCTGTATTGGCTCGGGGAGGTAGGATGTACCCAGATGATGTTTCCCACAATCAGCACCAAGAAGGCTGTCCCCTAGAGGAAAAATGTAAGAAAATTTTACAGTCCCACATTTTGTTACTGACCACTCTTTAATAATGGTTTCTTCAGTTACTTCTACAAAGGGATTGTTGTTGGTCCCCTGAGAGATTGGTGCTCTTTATAAAGCAGCTGATTTATGAGTCCAACCTGAACTTGACATGGCAGTGCTCCAGGCCTGCCTCCCGCCTTCCTCTACCCTAGCCCTCTTTCCTCTTTGCCCACCTGATTGGCAGGGGGTGGGTGCCTAGAAGGTGGGTTGCTAAGCAGCCTGGCTTTAACATTGTGCCCTTGCAGTTTGGATGAATAGCTGCAGTGTTTGGAAGAGAGAGAGGATTTTGGTCTGTCTGTTAATCAGGAGGGACTTTTTTGGGGAAGGGGTTAAGCACTTGTAGTCTGGTCTTGGCACGTGGCCATAGCTTGGGCAGGAATTTGGTAACCCTCACGGTGCCTTCCCTTCTGAGATGCAGGGTGAATGGAGTCCAGAGCTCTGTGGCGGTTCCCATGTGAAGATCTTGTTGCAGAGTTGTCACTGTCTTATCTCCCCCCTCACCAAGCAAAGGAAAGGAAATGAGATCCAACAACATTCTGTGAACTCAGCTTTTTCTGTTTTGATCATTAACTTGTAGTGGCACTTGAGATCACTGACCTTACTGGTCAGTCAGTAGGAAACAGGTGTGTTCTTGCCATTTTATGTTCCTGCTGTGTCAGGAACTTGTAATATGGGGCTTAGATTGTCACCTTTGCCTTCTCATCCATTGATTTGTTTTAGATGAAGCATTTACTCTGGTGCAGTGAGGTAAGCAGTTTTCTGATAAGAAGCCTTTGTTGGACTGGGGTCATGGCTCAGTTGGTAGAGCGGTTGCCTAGCATGTGTGAGGCACTGGGTTCTATTCTCAGCACCACATATAAGTAAATAAATTAAAAACAACAACTAAAAAATTTAAAAAATAAAAAGAAGCCTTTGTATTTAGGTTTCTACAGGATGAAATGGGAGTAACTGTCGACTTGCATTAAGTATTAAGGAAAGGGCTGGGGATGTGGCTCAAGTGGTAGCGCGCTCGTCTGGCATGCGTGTGGCCCGGGTTCGATCCTCAGCACCACATACAAACAATGATGTTGTGTCCGCCAAAAACTGAAAAATAAATATTAAAAAATTCTCTCTCCTCTCTCTCTCTGTCTCTCTCTTTAAAAAAAAAAAAAGTATTAAGGAAAAAATTTTCGTTAGAGAGAATATACAACCAAAGAATGCTGCCTGGAACTGGGACCTCATTTGGTCCCTTATTAAAGGCATGCTGTACACATGCTCTGGGGTTCTGTGAGCTGCTCCTTTATCCTTACGTAAAGACTCCTTTTTTGACTTGAGCTAAACATGAAACTCGAGGAGTAACTAATCTCACGTCTCAATCTTGGGAGCGGGATATTATGAAGAAGTACCCCTTACTTCCTTTGTGCCAGCAGTCTCAGTAATATACTCTGTGGCACTGCCTAGGCTCTGGAGGAAGAGGCAGCCAGGATCTTGAGCTCTACTGCTTCAGGGTACGGGGGGCCTCCTGAGCCCAAGGGAGCAGCAGACATGGTTCAGGTCATACAGGTGGCCCAGGCAGGAATGCTGCTGTGTTGGCGCTCCTCAACATCAGTTGGAACTGCTCCTTGCTGGAAGCCATGGAAGAAGACTAACACGGCACTCTGGAGTATCCCAACTGATATAAGGAAGAAGGGGTAGGAGGCTCTGGGATCCCAGAAGCCCCCAAAGCACTGCTCCCCTTCATTTAGTGCCACTGCTATAATTTTCCCTCTTCTCCTTCCCTAAAAAAATCAGGCATTTCCTGAAGAGAGAGACTGGCTCAGGGGCCTGATCTTACCTCTGTGTGTTATTTCTCTTCTGCAGGATAACACAGAAGTAGAGAAGCGAGATCCCCAAGAACTAGTTGGTAAGTATGCAGGAGAGCTGGGGGCATACTTGTAACCCTTGCCCTGTGAGCAAACCAGCTTCTGGCTATGCCAGCCTCTGCTCCTTGGGGCTTTTCTCATCTATGAGCATCCTCCCTTCAGACTCCCTCTTAGGGCCTTTGGCATTTTCTAGAATGACTGAGACCCGCCCCCCAAAGCAGTTCTTCATTGAATAATATTCATGGTACATCTTATTGGGGTTTCCTAAGTTGCTAATATATCAGGAGGGGGTTCCAGGTCCCCATCAGCTGGGAGCTTTGTTTCTTTCCCTTGTGCCCTGGGTCCTTTCTTTGCCTTTGTTCTCCTCCCGCTCCACTGGTGTTCACGTTGCTCACAGAGTCAGCATATGGCCTTTGCTGGAATTTTGCTTTGTCCCCAGGCAAGAACATGTCCTGAAACTCATGAGTTTGGGGCCCTTGGTGAGAGACAGAGCCGTTTCTGGAAATTTCGTACCGTCTACCTCCTTTGCCAATCCCAGCCTCTAATCCCATTAGAAAGTTTCTTAGCTCCTTTAATTTGGCCATGGACATTATTGGATCCAAAAGCCTTACCCAAGGGAATTTTCCAGTGAATCCAGGCCTCTCAGCAGTGTCAACCCTCCCTCTCTATGGCAGCTGTTACCTGCCTGTCCCAGTGATGTTTACAAAGCAGATCTTTTTTCTTCTTCCCAGGGACACCTATAGAACCTGCCCTTGTACACCCATGTTGGCATTGAAGGCTCACTCCTTCTAGTCCCAACTTTTCTTTTTTTTTTTTTTTTAACATTTTTTTAGTTGTAGATGGACATAATATCTTTATTTTTATTTATTTACTTTTATGTGGTGCTGAGGATCGAACCCAGGACCTCATGCGTATGAGGCAAGCGCTCTACCACTGAGCTACAACCCCAGCCCAATATTTATTGTTTTTTTTTTTTTTTTTTTTTTTAGTTTTCGGCGGACATAGCATCTTTATTTTATTTGTATGTGGTGCTGAGTGATTGAACCCAGGGTCCCCTGCTTGCCAGACGAGCGCGCTACCGCTTGAGCCACATCCCCAGCCCTAGTCCCAAGTTTTCAGATCACACAGAGACTTGTCCAGAAAGTGCTCCTCCAGCCTCCCTTCCACTTGTTTTTTCTCTAAGTAGGATCCTTTTGCTGGGGGTGGGGAGGAGGAAGAGTTTATTTGGCAACTCTCAGTTTCAGGGGTCTGAGTCCATAGACAGCCGGCTCCATTCCTTGGGCCTTGAAGTGAGGCCGAACATCATGACAGAAGATAATGGCAGAGGGAAGTGGCTCACATGATGAGCAGGAAGCAGAGAGACTGTACTTGTCAGATACAAAAACATATCCCAAAGGCATGCCCCCACCTCCTTCAGCCGCACCCTACCTGCCTTCAGTTACCACTCAGTTAATCCCCATCATGAATTAATTCACTGATAAGGTTAAGCCTTGTAAAACCCAGTCATTTCTCATTTAAACTTTCTTCCGTTGTTTCACACATAAGCTTTTGGAGGACACCTAACCTAAACCATAATGCTGTTCAGTGCCACCCCAGTTCTCAGCAGGATTCTGCTTTGATCCCTGGGCTCTCTAATGGGTGGAATTTGAATCCTCCAAATCCTGTAATGGCCCCGGGTTTTCCTAAGTCCTAGCTAGAGTTTGCTTAAAATTGAGAGACTTGCAACATCAGGGGCAGTAGTTTCCTTCTAGACCAGAAGAGGCAGAGTATGTCAGCTAGGGAGCCAAGGGCCTGTCCCTAGTGAGTAATCTGTAGGGCCAGGTGTGGCAAGAGCCTCAGCCTCTTCCTTCAGAACCCCACCTGATCTTTCTGTTTATTATTAAGAAGCTTCAAGGCTGGAGGTCAGAGAGCAGCCTGTCTGTGAGCCATCATGGCAGTGCCCTCCACTCACTAGCAGTGTCTGGCACATGACACAGTGTGTATGAGAGCTTAGCTCCCAACTTCTTTCACAGCCAACTGAGCACTGTTTCTCTCTGCCATGTTTGTTTATTTGTTTTGGTACTGGAAATTTAACCCAGGGGCACTTTACCACTGAGCTACATCCTAGATCCCCCCGCCCCCTCAACTTTTTTGACCTTTTATTATGAGACAGGGTCCCCTAAGTTGCTTAAGGCTTAAGTTGCTGAAGCTGGCCTTGAACTTGTGATCTGGAATTACAGGTTTGTACTGCCTATACCCAACTCCATGCCACACTTTAAAAATAGTTTTGTTGAGCTGGATGCTGAGATTCACATCTGTAATCCCAGCAATTTGGCAGGCTGAGGCAGGAGGATTGCAAATTTGAGGCCAGCCTCAGAAACTTAACAAGACACTATCTCAAAAAACTGGTCAGCTTAGGAGGCTGAGGCAGGAAGATCACAAGTTCAAAGCCAGCCTCAGCAATTTAGCAAGGCTCCAAGCAATTTAGTGAGACCCAATCTCAAAATAAAAAGGATTGGGTTCAGTCCCTGCTACCAAAAAAGTAGTGAACTGGGAATGTAGCTCAATAGTAAAGCACCTCTGGTTCAATCTCCAGTACCAAATACATAAATAATGAAAAAATAAAAATAGTTTGGTTGAACTGTGCAAGGTGGAAAAGACAGTATTTGAAGCTACTTGGGAGGCTGAGCAGGAGAGTCACAATCTGATGCAAGCTTGGACAACTTCAAGGCCAGCCTGGGCAACTTAACGAGACCCTTAGTAAGTTGGTGAGACCCTGTCTTAAATAAAAAATTTAAAGGCCTAGAACCAGTGGTAAATCACACCTGGATTCCATCACCAGTAACCCCCTCCGAAAAAAATAAAGGAGCTTTGTTGAGGTTTATTTTATAATTTTCAAAGTAAAATTCGCTGGTTTTAAGTGTGCCATTTGATGAATTTTGACAGCTGTGTATAGTTGTATTATCCCCTCCACCTTCACAAGACAGGATGTTTCCATCCCTCCTGGAAGTTCTGCCTATTTTAGAATTTCTTTTTTTTTTTTTTAAGAGAGATTTTTTAATATTTATTTTTTAGTTTTCGGCGGACACAACATCTTTCTTTGTAGGTGGTGCTGAGGATCGAACCCGGGCCGCATGCATGCCAGGCGAGTGCGCTACCGCTTGAGCCACATCCCCAGCCCCCTAGAATTTCATATAAATCAGAATTTATTGATGTTTTGGGCTGGATCACTCCCTGTTAAGGGGGCATCCTGTGCATTTAGGATATTTAGCACGGCATTAGTTTCTACCCACTAAATGCCAGGAGCATTCTCTCCTTCTTCCCCAAATGTGGTGGCAAAATGTTATCTCCAAAGGTGCAGAAGCACCCCCAGTTGAGAACTGCCAATACAAATAGATCGTAGTTTTCCTGACTGGCTTCCTTTACTTGTCTTGATGCTTCTGAGATTCATCCATGTCGTTGAGCATATCCATCGTTTACTTCTTTTTATTGCTAAGGAACATGCTTGTAAGGTATACTACAGTTGTTTGTGTATTCGTTCACCCACTGAGGACACAAATGCCGCACAGTTTTGAACTGTCTGACCACTTCTCATTAAGGAGTAGCTAGGTCAGCTCTTCACTGAGCATGCAAGCTTGGACAACTTTTAGTTTAATGGAGAGTAGATTCCATTCATGATGCCATGCTTGTCAGCTCCTCTGTATGAACTTGGCTCCTGTACCTGAACTTAACTCCTCTAGATATCAGGACTTAACGTTGCTCACTGGATGTGGGAAACATTTTCAAACATGTAGACAGCCCTACCTTTAAAAAAGCAATCAAGAACGCTGAGAGTCCAATTCATAGGTGAGGTATCTCTAGTACTGTAACTCCTGACAGAGCTGTCCATACCCACCAGGGGCCCCACCATTGCTCCATAGGTGCCAGAAACAGAGGTACTGGAGTGACACCCCCAGTGAGTTCTCCATGCCAATCATGAACTGGAAATATCCCCCCCCACCTCCTGCTTGTAGCCCCCCACAACACCCTGCAGACATCCTCAGGTCTCCCAGTCTTGCTGCTCTACTTGCTCCCTGCCACTTCATAGGCCTACCTGGCAGCTATGGATACTGGGGATGTTTTCTGACATGGGCAGGCCCCAGGGGTGATGTGTGCTGATGCAGGCTCCTTAAATCCTAAGTTGCAGCTGCCCACCCAGACTGTCCCCAGAAGACCCAGGCAGCACCCACACATGTGGTTGTTGTCCTGAGTGTCTGAGGACACACTGCTAAATGTATTTCCTGGGAAGATGGTTCAGAGTTCTGGCTGCTTGTAGCAAGATACACAGAGTTGATGTCATTTTTATTGGATTCATTCTGGAACTTAGGAAAGAGAATCACTGAAAAATTGCTTCTAAAATCCGTGGGATAACTTTTGTTTTCCCAAGTTTGTCCCTTTATTGTCAGTTACTTCCTAGTAATTCTTGTTTTTAGCCCAGAGCTCAGAGGGGTTTCCCTTTTGTCATGCTATCTACCATTTGCACCCTGGAGGTTGGTGGGGTTGCTATGGCAACAGTGTCACACCCTGTTTTTCTAAAAGACTTTCCTGGCAAATGCCAAAGGGCATTCTTTGTCTCCCTGTCACATGTACACATTGTCACATTGTGGCTCTAGTCTTGGGAAGAACTTAACCTTCCTTGTTTCTGTGCCCAGTGCCTGCCAAGGCCTCCTTGCTTTTGTTGATGATGTTCATGAAATCGGAGGACCAGCTCTTCCCAGCTGCTTCCACTCTCAACTGGCCTCTGCAGCCTTTTTGAGCTCATGTCTAGAACTTCTGCTCATCCCAGGGCTGAGAGGAAGGAGGAAGTCAGGATGAGGCTTGAATCCCAGCCAGAGCAGAGTGTTACCCTTGCTTGAGGAATCAGGAGGCAGAAGGAAGGTGCTGGGCGGAGAGAATCATGTAGTCCCCTTGTGGAAACTCAGGCCACAGCAAGACCTTTGATCTATGAGTCACCCAATCCCTGTCCTCTTGCCCCCCCTCAAAATAACAGGCCAGTACTCTGCCCTTGGAGTGTGTCCAGCAAAAATCCATTGATAACAGTAAAAATCAGCATGTGTAGTCGTGTTATAAGAGTTCCCTGGCCAGGCATGGTGGTTCGAACCTATAATCTCGCTACTTAGGAGGTTGAAGTAAGAAGATCTCATTTCGGGCTGGGGATGTGGCTCAAGCGGTAGCGCGCTCGCCTGGCATGCGTGCGGCCCGGGTTCGATCCTCAGCACCACATACAAACAAAGATGTTGTGTCTGCCGAAAACTAGAAAATAAATATTGAAAAATTCTCTCTCTCTCTCTTCTCCCTCTCTCTCACACTCTCTCTTTAAAAAAAAAAAAAAAAAAAAGAAGATCTCATTTCAAGGCCAGCCTGGACAACTTAATGAAACCCTGTATTAAAATAAAATTCAAGCCAGGTGCAGTGGTACTTCTATAATCCTAGTGGTTCAGGAGACTGAGTCAGGAGGATTGCAAGTTCAGAGCCAGCCTTGGCAACTTAGGCCCTAAATAATTCAGTGAGACTCTCTCTCTAAATAAAATATATAAAAAGGGCTGAGTATGTTGTTCAGTGGTAAAGTGCCCCTGGGTTCAATCCCTGGTACCAAATTCAGAAAAAGCTAGGGATGTGGCTCAGTGGTAGAGCACCTGCCTATTACGTGTGAAACCCTGGGGTCAATCTCTAGATCAGTACCTTAAAAAAAAAAAAAAAAAAGCAGTAATGCTCTGGGCTTGACCCCCAGGCTTAAGGTGTTTGTAGTGTGAGCAGGCTGGAATCCCAACAGCTTGACTGACAAGTCTGGAGGGTTTGTCTCTAGTCTAAGTAGTACAGGTGGCAGGCTCGTAGTCCCAGCTACTTAGGAAGCTGAGGTCACTTGAATCCAGAAGCTCAAGGCTTCTACAACATAGGCCTTCTACAACAAGGCCTCCACAACATAGTGAGAGCTTGTCTTTTTTAAAAATAATAGTAATAATAACCAGACATGATGTTGCATGCCTGTAATCCCAGCAGCTCTGGAGGCTGAGGCAGGAGGATTGCAAGTTCAAAACCAGCTTTAGCAACTTAGCAAGGCCTTAAGTAACTCATTGAGACCCTGTCTCTAAATAAAAAATACAAAATAGTGCTGGGGATGTGGTTCAGTGGTTAAGTGCCTCTGGATTCACTCCCGATACAAAAATAATATTATCCTAGCCTTGGGAGAGGAGACCCAGAAGGCTGTTCTAGGCCAGTCTCCACAGTCCAGGAGACCACTTGTTCCCCCTAGAATTACAGGGGTGCAAAGCTAACCCATTTCTTAGAGCAGCTAAGTGGTCTAAGAAATAGGTTAGTTTTGCACCCCTGTAATTCTAGCTTTTCAGGAGGCTGAGACAGGAGGATTGCATGTTCTAGGTCAGCCTCAGCAACTTAGAGAGACACTATCTCAAAAATTAAAAAAGGACTGGGGACGGTGTTCCGTGCGAAAGTAGTCCTGGGTTCAATCTCCAGTACCACAAAAGGAAGAAATAAAGAAATGAGTTAGCCGTAGGACCTGGCACACACAGTAGGTCCTCAGAAAGTATTTGTTGGATGTTATTGGTGGTAGCTTGTTCATTCTTTCCCTTCCTCCTGCCCGCCCTGTTCTGCCTGCTATTTGCTCATTGTATGGTCCTTTTCATGAAGGAATGTTTTAAAGAGCACAGGCAGAATTTTACAACAAACAGTGCATTGTTTGAGTGATCCAGAGCAGGACTGTGGTCACCAGAGTGGCCAGAGGCTACAAGGAAAGGAGTGAGAAGAGAGGGCGAGGCTTGAGTGGGAGGCTTGGGTGGGCAGCAGCAAATCTCTGAGGGAGTCGTCCCTTGGGGGTTGTGGTTCTTAATGTCAGAATCAGGCCTTTTGTTCTCAAAAATTAGTTGGGCCAAGAAAAAGACCATAAGCCAATTATCAACAGGTAATTTTTAAAAAGTGTCCTTATGCATAAACAGTTTTAGACTCTTAGAACCCAAAATCTCAGGAACCCTGAATACAGTTTCTCCCTAGGCAGGTCAGCCCAAGACAAGAAGGCTGATACTGAGCAACTCTGATTTCTAGAGTTCTAGTAGAGGTGTTTTAGAGACTACGCAGTGGGAGGCTGGAGCCAATGCACAGTGAGTTGACTTGCATGTTCCTCCCAACCATGTGTTCACTAACTTCACATTGGTAGCCTGAAATTGGCCACAGAAAGGAAATTTACACCATGGGAATTAGCAAATGCTAAGGATCCCTCTCTTCCAGCTGGTTGTTAAACATTTCCCAGCACAGCACTGGGCATATTCTTTTCTTAAAATTTAACCAGGGGCTGGGACTGTGGCTCAGTGGTAATGCACTTGCCTTGCATGTGTGAGGCACTGGGTTCGATTCTCAGTACCACATATAAATAAAATAAAGATCTATCGACAACTAAGGGAAAAAATATTTTTAAAAAAGTCAACCAGTGGGGGCTGGGGTTGTGACTCAGTGGTAGAGCACTTGCCTCACACGTGTGAGGCACTGGGTTTGATCCCAGAACCACATATAAATAAATGAATAAAATAAAGGTCCATCAACGACTGAAAAAAAAATTTTATTATTATTTTTTTAACGTTAACCCCAGTGAGGGGCTGGGGTTAGGCACTGGGTTTGATCCTCAGCACCACATGGGGGAAAAAATATATGGTTTTGTGTCCATCCATAACTAAAATATTAAAAAAAAAAAAAGTTAACCAGTGGGAACCAGGCCCTGTAGTGTACACCTGTAATCTGTCTTAGGAGGCTGAGGTAGGAGGATCACAAGTTCAAGGCCAGCCTGAGCAGTTTAGTGAGACCCTGTCTCAAAAAAAAGGAGGATGGGGTGGCTGGGGATATAGCTCAGTGATAGGAGCACTTGCTTAGCAAGCTTGAAGCCCTAGATTTAATCCCCAGTACTACTCCACAAAAAAGAGAAAAAGTTAACCACTAGGACTTGGTAATACATGTTTTTCATCTAGACCTTCTACCTAAATTTCTCTTCTCCCAGGTTGACATGTGTCTGGCTCCTGATCAGCTCAGGTGACAGCAGAATACCCTATTTTATTGTTTGTTTCTTTTATTTCTCCCCACCTCCCCAGTATTGGGTGTGAACCCAGGAGAGCTCTACCACTAAGCTAAATCCCTAACCCTTTTTATATTTTATTTTGAGACAGTGTCTCACTGAGTTACTGAAGCTGGCCTCAAATTTGCATTCTTCCTACCTCAGCCTCTGGAGTCACTGGGATTATAGGCATATGCTACCCTACCCAGCTGTTTTACCATTTTCACAGCATTTATCCCTTCCTGAAAACATAAAAACGCAGCATATAAAATGTTATCTCTGTCCCCTGTCCTAATACCCTCACCTATAGAATCTTTCCCTCTAATTTCTCAACAGCCTCCTTTTCCGAAAGGGTCCGGAACATGTCGCCTGATGAAATCAAGATCCCACCAGAACCCCCTGGCAGGTGTTCTAATCATTTACAAGTAAGCACAGGGCCTGGCTGCTGAGGCCAATATGGATGAAGTGGTATGGGTTAGTTACCTGGTGGGGCCATAGCAGGGAAAAGGGACCAAGGTCCTGGGTTCAATTTCCAGCACCACAAAAAATAAATAAATGAATAAATAGGCTGCCACATGATCAGGAGCTACAATCCTGGTTATCTCTAGCTAGCCAGATCTCAGGAATTGGCACCCATAGTTCATGGCACCTGATATCGTACTAGACTACCTTCAGCAAGGCCTATGTCCCCGCAGGAAAAAACATGCACATTTCCCTGCACACAGTTGACCCAGTGGTAAAAAGCTGTGTTGACAAAATAAGGACATATCAGACTGTAAAGTAAATTATGCTAATGTGAAAACAGCATTTATACTTTTTATTTTCCTGCGGTACTGGAAATGGAACCTAGGGCCTCACACATCAACCACTGGCACATCTAGCACTCTACCACTGAGCTACACCTTCAGCCAAAAGTACAGCATTTATATGGCATAACATTCCTGTCCTCATTCCTAAATTCAGATTTCAGCCATTTATTGCCTACCTTTGGCTTTGAAATCCCTAGTGGTGGGAACTGTTCATGCAGTTGCTCCTTGGCTGGCAAGACTTCTGGATTTCAGACTATACTGTGGCTTCTCTTTGTCCCTCTGCTGTGAGTGGGACCTTGTAACTAATAATAGGGCCGATGCCCAAGGCTGTGCAATTGTGGCCCTGGTTCACCTGCTTTGCCTTTGATCCTGCAGCTTCTGCTCAGTGCCTCTGGCTACTTAGCAAGCCCCTGGCACCACCCAAACGGATGGATGACTAATGGGAGTGGGGTTGAAGAATGCAGCAGACCAGGGGAGGGCTAGAGTCAGGGCTGGGGTACAGTGCAGCTTGTCTTCCTTTCACGGAAGTCTCCTCCCTTTGCTGAGTTGTCTGTTTCCCAGCACCCTCAGGATCAAGTCATCCTCCATGGCAGAAAATGGGCTCTAGCCTGTAAGGACAATTCCAAAGACCTGCCAGACAGAGCCAGATAGCCATTCAGCCCTCAAATTCAAAATGTTCCTCCTCATTCAATCCTCCCTTGGGTAGAAACCATGGCATTTGAGCAAATGGTTTAGTTCACCTGAGGTAGCAGAACCCATTTGATAGATGGGCCTGGAAACCCAACCAAGTCAGCTATATGATAAGTTCACCCAAAGCTGCCCAGCCTTCTATGTAAGGCCTCCTTCCACTGCCCTTGATGAGAACCCATTGAGGAAAGCAGCTTGTCGCTCTCAGCTTCTCTCTTCCCTGGTAGTTAAATGGATTACAAATCTTTCAGTGCTTCTTCAGGTCCATCTCGGCAGAAAAATTTGCCTTCTGACCAGGCGAGTAGGCCACCTTTCCTGACATGTCCATCCTAAGGAGTATCACTTGGGACCTCCAGCCCTTCCCCCACCTCCTCTTGCAGGGGAAGGGTGCCCAAATGTTTTCCTTCTGGAGAATCTGTATATTTAACTGCCAAGTGAGGGGATGCTGCAGTTTGATCTTGAATTAGATCTTACCCACCTTCCTAGATAAGAACACACTTTCAAAGAACTCTTCATTGTCACTGGACAGCACTGATACCATATGCCATAGGGGCCAGGCAGGACCCCCATCCTGAGGATAGCATATTACTGGCCCAGTAGGTTAGCCTGGATCCCAGCCAGGTAGTTCTCCTGTGTCCCATTGAGAGTAGGTCAGGGATCTGTGTGAGCATTTTGGTCAAAATGACATGCGCTCTTAACCCTTGATTGTGACCCTTGACAAACTGGCATGACCCAACCACTTGTGAGTGCCTCACATAAGACTTGCTAAGGCTGAGGGTTTAGTTCAGTGGGAATATGCTTGCCTAGCATGCACAATCCCCAGCATTGAAAAAGAAAGAAAATTCTAGGAAGTTTGTGAGACCACTCCAAGACATTCTACTCCTGCCTTAAAAAGGTCACAGGTCTATTGGTTGCAATTCACAGTTTTGCTGAGGACTTAACCTTCTGTTGGAATTTTAAACCAACCAGGCATGGTGGTACATTTCTATAATCACAGCAGTTTGGGAAGTGAGGCAGGAGGGTTACAAGTTCCCAGCCTTGGTAACTTAGTGAGATCTTGTCTCAAAATAAAAATTAAAAAGGGCTGAGATATGGCTCAGTGATAGTGTCCCCGGATTCAACCCCTAATACCAAACATAAATCATGTAAAAACAGTTAACACCTTAAACTCTTCTTATAGTGATTTGAGAGCTGATAACCAGTCAGGAGTTTGTTTCTTTTCTTCTCTGTTCCTTCTCCACCTTGATCTTTACTCCTCACTGTACTGGCCATCCAGAGAAGGTTGGGAGAAATCAGCAATGAAAACAGACCCATCTTGGTTTATCTTGCCTGTGGGTAGCTCTGCTCTTTAAAGGCTGGGTGGAAAAGGAGAATATGGCTGGAGTTGTGCTTCCTGGGGCTCTTGTGTTTATGCCACAGACTGGATTGTAGGTGGGTGGTCTTCTGTCATATGTCCTTCTGTTCCTGTTCATAGGACAAGATCCAGAAGCTTTATGAGCGAAAGATAAAGGAGGGAATGGATATGAATTACATCATCCAAAGGAAGAAAGAATTTCGGAACCCTAGGTGAGTTTCCCATGAGCTTGCAGGTAAGTTGAGTCACTGGTGTTGGATGGGGGAACCAGGAATGCGCCTAGGAAGGGCTAAGGAGAGGCAGCCTTGATCCCTCTTGAGCAGAAAGGGCCATCTCCCAGATTCTCCTTATTCTAAGTGCCTGTGACACATAGCCAGCTGTCTAAACCAGGTGGAACTTTACCAGTTAGATCCAAACTAAGCATAGAAACCAGTCTACAGAATAGCAGCCAAGAGTCCTGGGCTGATGCAGGGAGACCTGGCTGGTTTCTTGTCACTCCTCTGCTCCTACAGCACATAACTTCTCAAGGCTTTGGTTTCCTCATCTGTTCAATAAGGGAGTTACTCTTCTTCCAACTCTAAAAAGTTGGTTTTGCATGCAGATGAGAGGTTTTAGGGACAGGTATATCTAGGTCTTAGTCCATCTAGTGTTCTGGCTAGTGACAAACCCAGGAAGAAGGTGGTGTGTGACAGTGGGACCTGTTCTGGCCCCTGCATGGGCCTGAGTGTGGTGGACTCAACCCAGCCATGCAGACTGAAGGTTAGAGACATCTGGATTAGACACAGCATAGCTGACATCTCACTCCTGGTGCTTGCCCCAGCTACATTTCCATCTCCCAGAGAAGGTAGAAAGCCAGAGCCAGGAGGTCAGGCCCCCCATTAGGAAGCTTGCTTAGAACAATATAACTGGCCTTAAGAGTTTCCGCTCTTATCTTAGCCCCAGGGACTAGTGGGTTTCATTGCCCTGTAGACCTGGACCAGTGCCTGCTCACTGATGAGGCTGTTTTCTTTTCAGCATCTATGAGAAACTGATCCAGTTCTGTGCCATTGATGAGCTGGGCACCAACTACCCAAAGGTACGTCCTACACTCTGCAGCTTGAGGGTGAAGAGGGTTCCCAGGACTCTGTGTTTGCTCCACTGTATTTGACCTAGAGCCACAGAAAGGTCCATGTAGCAGCACTACGGGTTGAAGAGGACAGGCCCCATCTCTGTTGTTTTTGAGTTTCTATTCTGAAATAGTTTAACAAAGAAATGCCAGCAACGACCTGGTCTCTAACCACTTAGAACCCAAGTATATGCTTGTTGTTCCTATCGGCCAGCTGGTGGTGGTGTTACTGAGCCAAGAACTTTGCCACTCCCATGTTCTTTTCTGAGCTTTTTCTGGCTACCCATGACTGGGAATCATGCCAGCTCCTGTGCTGTCAAGAGGACAGGGGGCTCCAGGCCAAAAAGGTCCATGGAAAGACTCTTCAAATCATTGTTACCTGGTGGTCTCTGCTGATTGCAGCTTGATCTTTTCTTTTTCAGGATATGTTTGACCCCCATGGCTGGTCTGAGGATTCCTATTATGAGGCATTAGGTAACCTGCTTTCCATCTACCAACCACTCGTCCATTTACCCATCTGTTCAGCCATTCAACCATCCAGTCAACCATCCAGGATCCAGGCCACACATATTTCAGGGTCTCCTCTATGTCAGGCCACATCCAAGGGGCTGTTGATTCAATCTTGAATAAGACAGACCCCATCTGTAACTTACAAAACTTAAATATAAGTCAGGCATGGGGGCATATACCTGTTAATTCCAGCTACTTGAGAGACTGAGGCAGAAGGACCAAAAGTTCAAGATAGGTCTGGGCAACTTAGCACGACCCTCTCAAAACTTTTAAATATATTTTTTAAAAGTGCTGGAGACATAGTTCAGAAGTAGAGCAATTCCCTAGCATATGTGAGGTCTTTGGTTTCCAGTACCCCACATGCGTGCACGCACATGCACGCATGCGCACACACACACACACACAAAGACTTAAATATAGCAAGGAAGATAGTGAAACCAGTAATTCCAACACTGATGGGTATTAAGATGAGGAGAGAGTGTTGGGTGTAGTGGCACACACCTGTAGTCCCAGCAACTCATCAGGCTCAAGACAGAGTATCACAACTTCAGGGCCAGCATGGGCAACTCAACAATACCCTATCTCAAAAAATTAGGACTGGGAGTATAGCTCAGTGGTAGAGTGCCCCTGGATTCAATCCCCAGTACGGGGGGCCAGGGGGACCCAAGGGGGTTTGGGGAGGGTTTGGTAATCAGGGTCACCTCACCTGGCTAAAGGATTAGGAAGACCCTGCCAAGGAAGCCATGTTGCAGCTAAGGTTTGGAGAGGTGTAGGAGCCAGGCAGATGCGGGCAGAATGCTCCAGGCAGGCTGGGGAATTGTATTCTAAGGCCAGGGGGATTTCAAAGGGTAGCCTTCAAGCTACAGGTCTTAAGCCAACAGCCCATGGTCCAGTTCCTGGCCTATACATATATTTTGTTTTCCCCACACAAATTTTTTCTTTTATTAATTTGAATTAGTTGCCAACATTTTGTATAAAATTCCATAATTGCAGCTTTTCTTTGTCAGTAGGAAGATAGTCCCCACATTCCCAAACCCAACAGTCCCTGGAGCTCAGGAGTAACTAACCCTTCCCAACATGATATGCAGCCTCCAGGCCCTTGTTTTGAGGCCCCTGCTCTAAATTGACTAAGGGCTGGCATTTCATTTCACCTAATGCAAAAGAATTCTAAGCCCACAAAGGCCTTAAAATCATCAAAAAGAATACAGTGCCCCGAGCAGTGAGGGGATTAGGCTCCACAGGCCAAAGCTGCTCATAGGGTTCCTTGTAACACCATCTTGTCTCTTCTAGCCAAGGCCCAGAAGATTGAAATGGACAAATTGGAAAAGGCCAAAAAGGAGCGAACCAAAGTAAGTGGTTACAGACCTGCAGGATCAGAAAGGCAAGCATTGGGTATGCGGGTCCTGATGGATAAGCCGAGAGTCCCCATCTCCCACACCCACCCTTTTCCGCACTTGTCACCTGCTGAGGCTCTGAGGAGCCTAGGCCTGCCCTTCTGCACCAAGCAGGCTGTGGCCCAGCCTCTGACGTGGCTTTTAGAAGCCTCCCACTGTTCCATTCTTGATGTCTTGTAGTTCAGATATTATGCTCTCCCTTACCTTCCCTCCCCCATTCACAACTTCAAAGCTCAGGTAGCTTGTCTCTTGTGGGTCATTGGGTCATCAGTGCCCTCCCTGACCTGGATGGAGGGAAGTATTTCCTTCTGAGAGTGTAGACACCCCAGCCTGCTCCAGCCATTGTATTTCTTGCCCTGCAAAACTGACCTCAGCAGCCTGCTTGGGTGCTTCCTTGTAAGTCCCATGTCTGACAGCCAGGTGAACCCTCATTTTAGAACCCTGAGTACCACTTCTTCCCAGTAGTGTGGTGTGGGTTCTTCATAAGCATCAATTTAGCTCTGAGACTAAAGCATCATCCTTTGGATACTGTGCCTTTATAACCAGAGTCTCCAAGAGAGAAAGCTGGGCATCAGACACTGGCTCCTCCCACCTCTAGTTAGACCTGGTCAGCCTCACGGCAGCTGCGACCCCCAGGATACTCCCCTCACCCCCAAGCAGAGGGGCTGCAGGGCCTGGACGCACTGGTGGCCCTCTCAAGGCCCTGGCTGGTGGGAGCTGGTGTGAGGGGATAATCTGGTTTCTCATTCTTAACCCTTGATTGAATCTCCCTTCTCTCTCTTTCCCTCTCCCTTCCAAACCCCAGGCTTATTGCAGGGACGTGTCTGCAGCGCCTGGGGACCGGAGCTGTCCTTCCCCTGTGCGGGCAGGCACCGCCTCCTGGGTGTGAGGAGGAGGGGCCTGGCCAACCGGTTCTGGGCATGTGAGGTGGGGTGGTGGGCAGGGGTGCCAGGCATGCGCAATCCTGTGATGCCGGGAGGGACTGCTGTCTGCTGGGAAAGCTCTTTGAAGAGTGGTGAAAGTCCCTTCGGGCTGTTTCCAGGCACCTCTCCCTCCCCAGATGCTCATAGCTGAGGTGACTTTCAATGCCTCTTTGTGTACTGCCAAATTCCTGTCCCCCTGGAGCAGACGGATGGCACAGGAAGTAGGCACATAGCTCTGCATTGGCCTTATCCTCCTCTCTCCCCCCTCCAGATTGAGTTTGTGACGGGCACCAAGAAAGGCACCACCACCAATGCCACAGCTACCACCACAACCACTGCCAGCACAGCCGTTGCAGGTAGGATGGCTTGGCCCAGCTCTGCCTGGACTGGCCACACCAGTCTAGCAAGGGTTTCCTGGGCTCGTCTAGGGCACCTGCTGGCCACCTGGGGCTTCTTGGACCAAGGCCTTTGCATTCCTGCCCTGAGGACATGAAGTGCTCTGCTTTTGGTTGGTCTTTATCCTGATTCCTCTTCTGCATTATCTCTAGATGCCCAAAAGAGAAAGAGCAAGTGGGACTCCGCCATCCCAGTGACGACAATAGCGCAGCCCACCATTCTCACCACCACTGCCACCCTGCCAGCGGTAGTCACTGTCACCACCAGCGCCAGCGGCTCCAAGACCACAGTCATCTCTGCTGTGGGCACCATCGTGAAGAAGGCCAAGCAGTGACAGAGCCATGCCAGGGCTTGACTGTGCAGCCTAGTGGCTGCTGTATATTTCAGGACTTGGACCTGCTCCCAAGGTGCCATCTGAGAGGAGCCTCTGTGTGGCATTCCAACCAGAAGGACATTGTAGCAGAGGCAGAGGATACAGCAGATAGGGTCTGTCTGTCCACACACCACTTTGGGGTCTCACCCAATTAAAAGTGTCGTGTTCTTCCGTCCCAGCATCTGGGGTACACTGGCCTCTTCCACGGTTTGTTTTCAGGCAAATGTGAAGCTCAAATGCTCCCTCCATCTTCTTACTTGTGATTATTGATTGCCTAAGGATTGATAGTGGGGTGATGGAAGCCTGTGGCACTGCTCAGAGGGGTGCCCCAGTAAGTCACTGATTGTTCCCACTGTCTGCCTCTTGGCATGGTCAGGTGTGGCCCCAGGGAGGAGAGTGAGGCCTCTGGTTCTTAAGCAAGAGCAGACCTCGGCTGTCTTGGTGCAATTGAGCACTCTACAGGCCACTTCTTGGACATGCCCAGGCTTTCAGAATTAGGCTAGATACCAGAAGGGCTGGGGTGAGATCCCCAATGTGCACCAGAGGGGGTTGGTATGGGCACCTGGCCAAGGCCGCCTAGTCCCTTAGTGCCCAGCAAGCGCAGCCAGTGAGATCCACAGTTGGGGAGATGAATCACCTCCTGCTCTGGCCAGCAGCAGTTCATTGTTTATGTGAAAGCACTGCTCCTGGGAGAGCTGCTGCCACCCCGCCCTTCCTCTGTTGTTATCTCTGCCCAGCAGCAGTCCCTGGGCAACACCAATGGCTGACCAGCTTCTCTTGGGCCAAAATGGGTTTCCCAACCACCACCAGCCTGGGAATGGAGGGGGCAGTTTGCCTTTGAGCCCTCTGGCAGCTCTGGTCCAGCGGAAGGGCTGAGTGTCAAAGGAGGAAGCCGGGCTGTGAAAAGCTATGGATTCCATGGGCCCGGCAAAGACTGAGAAAGGTGGTCTTGAAATTGATGCCTGGTACTGTTATGTGATCTGGGGAATATGACAAACTATCCCTAATGTCGCCAAAATAAAAATAGTCACTCTTGCCCCCTCTTCTCCTTGGGACTTGGCCACCCTGGGGGAATTGCTGCTGCCTGCTCATCCCAAGAGGGTCTTTGTAAAGGCCCCCTTGCTCCCAGGCTCTGGGGGTTCCCCCATAGCCAAGGGTACCAGGAGGTCTAGTAGAAGGCAGTGCAGCAGGGAAACAGAGTGCCAAGTACAGTGGGCACCCACTGGTCTGGTGTCCTGGCCTAAAGCAAGTCCTGTGGTCTGTATGCCACTCTTCTGTCAAATCACAGCAATAAAGCTTCATGCAGAGGTTTGGAGGAATCATTGAAGGAAAAGCTTTCTAAACTGTAAAGTACTCGGAAAGTTCTGCTGTTTGCCAATATATTTTATTTTCACTATTGACCTAAGAGAGAAGCAAACCCTAAAAATGACGAAATCAGCCAGGGTCTGGGGAGTTGGCAGCAAGGCCACCTCCCCTTTAAGGGCTCTTTGATAGAGCGGGAAGTAGGCTGAGGCCAGTCTGCCCCTCTCCCCAGCCCTGCCATTGAGCTGCCCAGTTGGAGCAGCAGTGACCGTGCAGTGGGGGCCTGGGCAGTGGACACAGCTGAGTTGGCAGCCCCAAGCTGAGAGTGCTGTTCCACTTCCTAGAAACCGAGTGAGTTGGCTAAGTCTCAATCCTCAGAATAACAGGTTAGTATAAAAGGGTGCCTGCCCACCTTTATTCCCACTGAGGATGGTGTCTGTGGATACCGGGTATCCCTGCAGGGACTAAGGTGACTTCTGATCTCACAGGGAAAATTCACTCTGCCCCCACCCCTTTCCTGTGTTGAGCAATGACATCATGATCCATGCAGGTCTCACCACTGTGCACTGGGAATCTGCGCTGTCCCTCACACCCCGTGGGTGACTTCAGAAGCTCCTCCTCCATCCTCTTTATTGCTGCCTCTGTTCAGGCTCTTGTCCCTCACACCACACTGTTCTGGCCTGGTAGTGCTGCCTCAAGTCTCCCCACTCCCGTCCAAGCTCCGGTCATCTAGCAGAGGCCCCTTGCTATACTCCAGCTTTTGCCATGTTACACGCTGCACAGCAGGGTCTAGACTTGAGCATGGCATGCCAAGCCACCAGCTTCCCACCTCTCCACGCCCCACCCACTGTGCTTGGGCAGCTCCCTCACCTTGTGCTTTCCCTGCTACGCCTCTGCACATAATGGATCTCAGGTTTCATACCCCTTCCTGACTTCATTCCCCGCAGCTGCTCACTCCTTTCTCAGTGCTCTCAGAAATGTTTCTCTGCCTGTGACTTCTGCCCACAAAACAGTGGGCTGAGACCACTGGTGTCCTAGTTACTGCAAGCAAAGAAGGTAGTTACAAGAAACAATGTCCCATGTGCCTGAAATAAGGACTTCAGTGATGTAGTGGAGGAATGGAAGGAGGGGTTAATTAGTGGTCATCCAAAGTTGTGGTCACTAGACTCGAGTGACCCTCCATGCCCATGTTCACAGCGATTCTTGTATGGGTTTAATTCCAAAGGACTACTGTAGATTGTGGGCTGGCAATCCCAGAGGCTCAGCCATAGGAATAGGGGGCTCATTGTTCTCTCATTTTGTGCTTGTTTTGATTTTGGAGACAGGATCTCACTATGTTGCCCAGGCTGGCCCCAAACTACTGGGCCTAAGCAATCCTGCCTCAGCCTTCCAAATAGCTGAGAATACAGGCACATGTCACCACACCTGGCTCTCATTTTGTATATGTTTGAAAGTATGGGTAAAAGTTTGGTTTTACCAACCACTGTGGTGCATGCCTGTAATCCCAAAGCTCAGGAGGCTGAGGCAAGAGGATCATAAATTCAAAGCAGCCTCAGAAACTTAGTGAAGCCCTGTCTCTAAATAAAATATAAAAAGGGCTGGGTTTGTGGCTCAGTGGTCCAGTGCCCCTGGGTTCAATCCCCAGTACCAAAAAAAAGTTTGGTTTTATGGTGCTGGGGATTGAACTTCGGGGTGCTCTACCACTTGAGCTACATGTCAGCTCCCTCCCCCTCTACACACAGACACATACACTTTTAAAATTTTATTTTGAGACAGGATCTCACTAAATTGCCTAGCTTGGCCTTAAACTTATGATTCTCCTTCTGCTTCCCTGGTAATGGGATTGCAGATGTTACAGATGGGTGCCACCTCACCTGACTATAGTAATTAAAAAAAAAAAAAAAAAAAGGTTATTGAGCTGTAAGTAAGAATGAATGAGGAAGATTTCCATGGACAGATTTGCAGTGATCTTAGGAGAGGCAAGATGTAGAACAGTGCTATAGAGAAAAGCAATACAAGAATAAAAGATATCAGGGCTGGGTATTGACTGGTAGTGCATTGACTCTGGGTGGGTTCAATCTGTCTCTGTGTATTAAAGGAATGTAGAAACCCCAGTAGCAATACACATGTGTAACACCCAGATTTTGATTCCCCACAGGGCTCCTTGGAGAAACGGATGAGTCAAAATCTAAGTGGGGCTGGATGGAGCACTTTGTTCCAGAAAGCAGTATTTCAAGTATTTCAAAAGGTCAACGGAACTATTTTGAAGATATTTCTCATTGGTCAAATGTGGTTAATGTGAACATTAAGAAAAAATGACTGCAAAGGACTATAAACTGGGTAAATAGAGATCCATTCATTCATATTTGAAAAAAAAAAAAGAAGAAAAATGTATTTGCCACCATCAGAGTTTAATGTTAATTCCTTACTCAGAAATTGACACTGAAAAGACTTGCCCCTAGTCTAATGTGGATGGCATTGTGAAATGGTACAACTGCTATGGAAAACAGTATGGCGACCCTCCAAAAGTTAATGAGAACTGCCCAAGTCAGGTGTGGTGGCATACCTGTGATTCCATCTAGTCAGGATCACTTGAGTTCAGGAGCTCAAGGCTAACGCGGGGCCTGTCTAAGAAACAAAAAGGGCTGGGGACGTAACTCAGTGGTAGAGTGCTTGCCTAGCATGTTCAGGTCCTAGTTCAATCCCCAGCATGAAAAAAAAAAAAGTTCAAATAAAGTTAATATAAGTTTTATTATTAAAAAGGAAATAAGCCAGTGGAGGTGATACATGTAATCCTAATGGCTCCGGAAGCTAAAACAAGAGGATTACAAGTTCAACAGCAACTTACACCCTAAACAACTTAGTGAGACCCTGTCTCAAAATATAAAAAAGAACTGAGGTTGTGGCTCAGTGGTTAAGCACCCCTGGGTTCAATCCTCAGAAGCAATAAAAGAAAGTTAAGATGGGAAATTTTACATTATGTGACAAAAACATACATAGCATGGTGCTGGGCACTAGGCATGGTGGCTTGTAATTCCAGCTCCTTGGGAGGCTGAAGCAGGAGGAGTGCAAGTTAGAACTTCAGCAAATTAGCAGGACCCTGTCTTAAAATAAAATATAAAAAAGGATTGTGGTAGAGCGCTTGCCTAGCATATGTGAGACCCTGGGTTCGATTCTCAGCACCGCATACAAATAAATAAAGATCTATTGACAACTATATATATATATATATATATATATATATATATATATATATGAAAAAAAAAGGATTGAGGATGTTGCTCAGTAGTAAAGCACATGAAGCCCTGGAATCAAACCCCAGAAAGAAAAGAAGGAAGGAAGAGGAAAAAAAGAACCTATTAAATATAGGAAAGTAAAAACAGAGAAAAAAAAATAGTCATTTTGTAACTGTAAAGAAATACTTACTTCAGGCCAGTCACCAAGGGGTGCTAAAACATTCAGAAATGTTTGAGCAATGTGCAGGGTGACAAAGCACTATTACCCTCTTCTAGATAACTGTTAATCACAAAGTGAAAAAGGGTATTTTCCCACTAGAAGTTAGGGCCATCACTTCCTTACCCTGATGACTGACTTCAGCATCCCTAATAGAGAGGCAGGTGCCACTGGCAAAACTCACACTACCACCTATGACCAACCTTGTCGAAAATATGTGACTCAAATCCAATTGGACCTTTAGGTCCAGCCTCCCTTTTGCAGAAGGATAAGAGAACAAGTCCAACGACAACCTTGAAGAAACAATCCAGACAGAGCATTCTGCAGGGCCACGGGCATCTCTTTAAAATGTCAGTGGGGGGATCAGGGTGGGAAGACTAAAGTAAAAATGAGACGATCAAATGCAATGGGTGATATGAATTGGGCTCAGATTCAGAAGGAAACATAATTGACATTTTGGGACTGCTATGAAAATTTAAATATGGACTGTCATAGATTCCCCACCCCCCACACCACTGGGGATTGAATCCAGGGATGCTTTACCACTGAGCTACATGCCCAGCCCTTTTTCCTTTTTATTTGAGACAGGATCTTGCTAAGTTACTGAGGCTAGTCTGAAAATTGCAATCTTCCTGCCTCAGCCTCCTGAGTCCATGGGATTACAGTCGTGCCATCGGGTGCAGCAAGCCCCAAATTATTTAATAGACATGTCATGGTTAACTTTGTTAGGTGATATCACAGTTCTTGAGCTTGTGTGATGTTTTGGGCTGTTCTAGAGGCTGTTCTAGAGTGTGGAAAGATGAAATGTCAGGATATATACAACTTAAATCCAAATTAAAAATATGAACCTGTGGGCTGGGATTGTGTCTCAGCAGTAGAGCGCTCGCCTAGCATGGGCGAGACCCGGGTTCGATCCTCAGCACCACATAAAAATAGAGGCATTGTGTTGTGTCCATCTATACCTAAAAAATAAATATTTAAAAAAATATATGAACCTGTAATGAATATATAAATACAGCAAATGTGGCAAATGTCACTCTTGAATCCAGGTGGTAAAATAAAATTGATTTTTGTAACTTTCAATATTTGTATGATTGAAAAATACTCAAAGTAAAAAGTTAAGGAATCAGAACTCCCAAGGAGGCCTATAGGGGATAGGAGTGCAGGTTAGTGGTAGAGCACTTGCCTAGCATGTTCGAGGTCCATGTTCAAGGTTCCATCCCCAGCCCAGCAAATAAATCAGTACATAAATACATACATTCATAAATGAAAGAAGGGCCTAGTGAGCAAGCCCATACCTCTGTGGAGAAAACAAACTCAGTGACTATCCCCTCTACCAATAGGTGATGTACATTAGCAAGCCTGGCACATCCCTGGAGACCCATGGTTCAAACTGCAGGCTCCACAAAAGGAAAGGGCAGTGTGTTTCATTCAGCATGGTCTTCCCACCACGTGGCCTGGGCAGTTTATTAAATGCATGTAAAATAAACAAGTGACTGAACTAATGACAACAACTCTGGCCTACTGGAGTCCACAGGGGAGTTGGCAGTAG